CATGGAGCACTGGATGTTATACGCAAACAATGAATCATGGAACACTACATCAAAAACTAATGATGTAATGTATGGTGATTAACATAACATAATGACAAAAAAAAGATATAATGTATGGTAATTAACATAACATAATAAAATTTAAAAAAACAGATATCAAAATGAAGTGAACCTTTAAAATTTATGTCCACACAAAAACCTGTACCTGGATATTTAAAGCATAAAGATATTTATTTATAATTACTAAAACATGGAATGAACCAAAATGTCCTAAAGTAGGTGAATGGATAAATTGTGGCATTACTAGACAATGAAATATTCAGTGATAAAAAGTAATGAGCTATTAATCTATGAAAAGACATGAAAAAACCTGAAGTGCATATTACTAAGTGAAAAAAGCCAATCTAAAAAGGCTACATTCTGTTTTATTCCAACTATATAGCATCCTGGAAAAGGCAAATCTATGGAAAAAATAAAGGGGCACCTGGGTGGCTCAGTCAGTTAAGTGTCTGCCTTGAGCTTGGGTCTTGATCTCCAGGTCCTGGAATGGAGTCCTGCCTCAGGCTCCCTGGTGAGCGGGAAGTCTGCTTCTCCCTCTCCCTCTGCTCCTCCCCACTGCTCTTGTTCTCTCTCTCCACCCCCTCTCCTAAATAAATAAATAAATAAATAAATAAATAAATAAATAAAAGTAATCTTAAAATCTATGGAAACAGTAAAAAGATCAATGGCTGCCAGGATTTGGGAGTAAGAGGAGGGATGAACATGTGGAGTATAGAGGATTTTTAGGGCAGTGGAAATACTCTGTATGATACTATAATAATGGATACATATCATTTTACATTTGTCTAAATCCACAGAAAGTACAACACCAAGAATAAATTGTAACGTAAACTCGGGGCTTTGGTAATTATGATGTATCAGTGTAGGTTCATCATTTATAATAAATGTACCACTTTTGTGGGGGATGTTGATGATGGGGGAGGCTCTGCATGTGTGAAGGTAGAAGGAATATAGAGGAATACAGAAAATCTCTGTACCTTCCTCTCAATTTTGCTGTGAACCATTTTGCTCTAAAAAAAACTCTTAGAAAAATAAAAAATGAAGTGAACCAGATTTTAAACTTTTTTATGAAATATAAAATGAAAGTTTAAAAAAATAATGAGCACTACCACTACCACACCGCTATCATCAAAATTACATTGTATCAAATGAGTGAAAAAAGTTGTAAATAAAATGTTTTTAAATAATGTTTATTTCACCTTTAGCTCATCCTTTAAAAGTGTTCATGTTTCTAAATGGACATTACTAATGTAGCAGTAATTTATATAACAAATAAATATATTGAACTAAGTAAATATCTTCTATAAGTAAATATACATATTTATGGTGCATGTGCTAAATTTTCACTTATAGGTATGAGTCATCAAGTTGAAAATTATTATGCTAATAAGTTCATAGTAAATACATTTGGTGGTTACACTGCAAGTTAAAACTACATAAAATAAATGCTTATCAATTTGATATCATCACTTTTGCAAGAATTTTATAACAGGTAATCAGGTTTTGATTTGTCATCATTTCAAATTGCCACTCAAAAATGTCATAAAATAATGGTTACTAAGGGAGCCCAGAATCTTTCCATTTTGGAAACATAGAACAGACATTTTTAAGTACCACTTTTTCTAATAGGTAACTGAATTTTAAATACTGATCTTTAAAAGTGACAGGAACATTTGAGATATCATTTATACTTCTTTAGAGTGCAGGGAATTATATTTGCTTGTTATCTTGACATATATCCCCTCATTTCTTGCTGTGAAAACATCCAAATGCAATTTTCTAAATGTATTAGCAACAGCTAGAAAACCTCTGGTTTTGTTTCTCCATGGTTGTTGTGTAATGGACATTTCTGGTGAGTAGAAAGACTAGTCACAAGCAAAAGTTGTACATATTTTTAGTAAATGGGTAATGAATTATAAATAATGCTCGTAATTTTATTTTTCTTTGATAGAAAGTATTCTTCCCATCTCCAATCATGCTATTTATTTATGTTTGTGTGTGTATTTGTGGCTAGTTGACATATACAGCATTATTCCTTTTAAAAATGCAAGTTAAGTGAAATAAGTCAGAGAAAGATAAATACCATATGATTCTACTCACATGTGGAATCTAAAAAGCAAAACAAAGAGACAAACAACAACCAAAAACCAGATTCTTAACTACAGAGAACAAACTGGTAGTTGCCAGAGGGGAGAGGTGGGCAGGGGGCATGGGTGAAATAGATAAAGGGGATTAAAAGTACAAACTTCCAGTTATAAAATAAAGAAGTCACAGAGATGAAAAGCACAACATAGGAAATAGGGTGAATAAGATTGTAGTAACATTTGGTGACGGATGGTAACTACACTTATCACGATGAGCAGAGTAATGTACAGAATTGTTGAATATGTTGTACACCTGAAACTAATAAAACACTGTATGTTAATTATACTTCAATAAATAAATAAATAAATATATATATATATATATATATTCCACTTACCAAACTATTCCCTGAGCCCCAGAGCCAATAGGCTTCAAATTCTGGTAGCGCTTGAGAACTGTGAAGGTTGAGTCTCCCACTTCCACACTATAGAACTGGTTGTCAACTTTGCTTTTGCTCATGTTGTAATGTTTGGCAATATATGACACATCCACTTGTTTATCGAATCCCTGCAAAAAGAACAACAAAAACATGAGAAAGTGAACAATCAGAATGATAGCAAGATATAGAAAAGCCTGTTCTTTTAATGATTACTAATTCATAGTCATCTATCATCATTATATAAACCTGTATTTCATATAAAAAATATGTATTAATCCATGTAAGATAATCTAGAGTAAAAGAACTCAGAAAAATACATAGAAAAATTTGTTTTCAGTATTAAAACTATTAATAATAAAATAATCTTACATTAGATCTACACAATCTTTTCTGAAATGTTTCATTAAAACCATTTAATTATTTATGAAGCAAACATCTACCAAACATACTGGACCCATTGACTATGCTAGAAACTTCAGAGGTGATTCCTGATCATCCATTATAAGAGCCAAATGAGAAAGGATGAGATTTTATTTATATCCCTTTCTCAGAAAGAAATGAGATACAAAATAATGTGTAGTTTTAATTTTTAATTAGGTAAATTTGAATTAAATAGTGTTGACTTCATTTGTTCTCAATAATACCAAAATGGTAGTATTTACATTAAACTTTGAACAATTTTCAATTTTAGCCCAAATTATCATTATTCTAAAATGCCACATGATATCTTTTCATTCTTTGCAAGCTTAGATTTAAATATCTTGATTGTATATCTTTTATCTTTAAAAGAAGTTCTTCTACCTAATATATTTAGCAATTGAAGAATCTGTCCTTAAAATTTTGAATCATGATTTATGAATATATGTAATGTAAATATCCATTATCCATGATTATACACACAAATAAACTTATATTGCATTTTGTGACATTAAATAGTTTCAACTCTCTAGTAGAAAGGACTTTATAGAGTATTGTCTAGCCTGTTTCTTGTGGCACACCCTGGTGGATGCCTACCCAGTAGTCATTCCCTCTCCTTTTTGCTGATTTTGCTCAGGTTTTGAGCATTCTTATGTTCTGTGGGTTCATTCCCAATCCCCAAAATTGAAAATGGAATAGTCTAAATCAATGGTTCTCTTGAGAAGTGGCACTAACTCTTCCTAGACATCTGGGAGATTTGTAGGCATGTTTTGGTATTCCATATGGTAGGAGATGTGGCTTGTATTTAATTGGCTTATCAAACAATGCTGGTTGTCCTGCAATGAGTGGGACATTCATGAATAATTTCTTACACAATGAATAATTTCTTACATAACTCATGACTTTTGAGTTATGCCAAAGCTTTAATTAATAAACAAAAGAAAACAAAAACCCTGCCTTTAGTGTTCCAAGTCCAGAATCTAAACTAAAGGATCTTTGTATGGTTTTAATACACATTGACTTCTGAAAATCTGATTCTCACATAATTTGAAAGAAGATTTAGACCTTCTTTGGCTCTGAACCTCTGGTTGGTCATAAAACCACTGTCCTTAGAAATTTTTGGCATTTCATTTCTAAATAATAAAAAAAAAAGTGAACTAGAAGTATGAACTAATTTGTCCCTACATGCTCTTGGAAAGGGAACCAGGCAGCACCAAGTAATATAAACAAGGAGAGTATAGTGGGTACTATATGGATGTGAGTGGCAAAACCTATGAATCTAGGGCAAGGACCTTATGACAGACTTAAAGCAGAATGCACATGACCGGCACCAGCCTATGACTGGAAGACATATGGTGGCAGCAATCCAATACAAATACACACAGACCTCAAAGAACAGAATGGACTAAAGATGAGGAATATAGGTTGTTTGGACAGAAGACTGAAAATTCAGGTAATTTATGAGTACAATAAGGAGAGGTCTGAAATCCAGGAGATAGTCGGAAAGCATGGAACAGGAAATTAAACAAGACTATCAAAAAACAGGATTGGGGTGCCCGGGTAGCACAGTTGGGTGAGCATTGGATTCTTGGTTTCTGCTGAGGTCGTGATCTCAGGGTAGAGAGACTGAGCCCCACCTAGTGCTCCACGCTCAACGGAGTCCACTTCAGACTCCCTCGGCCCTTCCCCCACCATGCACATGCTCTCTCTCTCTCTCTCAAAATAAAATATATAATCTTAAAAAAACAAACAGACAAACAAACAAACAAACAAAATCAGGGCATCGTAAATCTATTCAGGGAGACCATAACAGGATTTAGAATTTAAACAATGAGTGTGGACTACAGCAGAAACAAGAACATTAGTATTTAAACAATCCTTGATTTCAAGCACAGAATCAGGAACTTCTCTCCATGCCACAGTCCATTTCTACTCTAGGCTTTTTTAGTGTATCAGCAGACTAACCCTATTAAAACGTCCTTTTTTTTCTTCCTACCTTTGAAAGGTAGAAAAGTAACTGAAAAATTTAATAAATATAAAAACAACAAACAAACAAAAGTAACTGGAGCTAGACTACCAATGAATTCATTGCCAAGGTTAATTTGGTAGGGATGAAGTGCCTGACTTCATTTGTCATGTTCTAATCCTTTTTTACATCCCTTAATGTTCTCATTTCTGACCACCCACAAAATTCTTAGCACACACTAGCTTCATCAAACCTACCTAATCCACTTCTCGTTCCCCTACTTATTCTCTTCACCTCTGAAATGCCGCCTGTTCCAACTGCATATATATACCAAACATATGTGATATTTTATGTTCCAGACCCCTGACTTCATGCTGTATCTTGGTATCACCCTACTCCTTCAGACTTGCCTGTGGCTTTTCTAGCTGTGGTCTCAGTCTTCATATTATACTTGAATCTACTAGGCTGGCCCTCCTCTTCCAACATTTTAATGTATATTCAGAGAAATCAAGGGAATTTAACAATTCATGCAACCTCTTTTTCAGACTAACCCTAAGAAATATTCTACTCAACATTTACAATCATTTAATCTAACAAATACTGATAATATACATATTATGTGCCAGATGCTGGGTTTGGCACTGGAGATACAACAAAAAGATAAGGTCTCTGTCTAGATGGAGGCAGTCAAATAAACAAGTAGTTAAAATATGGATGATATATTCTATAGTAGAATAAAGAAAAAGTGCTGGAAGCAAAAAGGAATAGGAACTAATTGCTTGCACTCATTCATTTTAAATTAATTCATTTACTATGTATAAAACAACTACTAGATGCCAACCGACAGGTATAAAATTGGTAATGTTTGAGAGGAGACTTGATCAGTGTTCTCTCTGGTTAACAGTATCCCTGGACCTCCCCTCTAACTGCTTCTCAAGTGTAAATGTACACCTGGAGCATCTGAGGAGCTTGACAAAAGGCAAATCATTATCACACCACCCTGGAGATTAGGATTTAGGTCATCATCATAGGTCCTGATGATCTGAAGATTACTAGGCAATCCAGGTAATTCTGACTTGAGGATTTGAGAATCTGACTTTGAGAAAGTCAGCATTAAAGCAGTCATTCTCATGGTGTGCTTCCTGGAGCATCAGCATCAGCATCACCGGGAAACCTGTTAGAAATGCAGATGCTCACTCCCATCCCATACCTATTGGATCAGAAATTCTGTGGGCAAGGACAATAATCTGTTTCAATAAGCCCTCTAAGTATGCTGATGCATGTTGAGAACCATACCCTAGAAGGGAAGGATCACCTGAAGACTGTGAAATGGAACTTACGCCTCTGCCTGACATATTTGAAAAGTAAAATGATTATTTCTGCAAATACATCAGGAACACATTTTGTGTCTTTACGGATTGCCAAATTCCATTGGTCATGGCACACCCAAAGTGGAAACCAGAGTCCTAGTTAGGATAAGGATTACCCCTCACCTCAGATTCAAGTATTTGAAAGAGCCCCACTGCCCCAGACTCAAGGACTTACAAAGTCTCAGTATTGAAACAGGTTAACAGTTGGCCAAGTGCTTTAATGGAGTAAGTATATCATTGCATCTCAGCAATTGTTCACACTGCTGAGCAGTGCCCAGTAATTTTTGTCAGTGCATATCTAAACAGAACTTTTCATACAATGGGGGGGGAAGCTATATATATGGACTTGGTAGTTTTTGTTTAGTTTTGTTTTGTTTTGTTTTTATGGACTTGGTAGTTTGATAGAAATGGTTAAAACAATCATAGAGTTTATACCAGCAGGAAACTTTCAGTAAGAGGAGAATTCCCAGTCAAAAAGTAACAAATAAAAAAACTATTCAAATAAAATATCTAATGACTTGACACATTTTCTAAAATAAAAATTACTTAGTGATTGTTTTTTCTCCATTTTAAAGCATACAATTTCTCACAATAACATTGAAATTATCTTTATAAAGTTTGCAAATTCACACATACATACACACACACACACACACACAAATTTCTCTTCAAGTATCCTCTTTATACCTAGCTTTGAATTAAACTTTATGTAAAATCTAAAAGTTAGAAAACACATCCTTGATAGTACCTCACATAATTGGGAAAAGGCTATTTTATTATTATTTTTTTTACTTATTTATTTTTTTGAGAGAGAGAGAGGGAAAGAGCATGAGTTGGGTGGGAAGAGGCAGAGGGAGAGAGAGAGAATTCCAAGCAGTATTCACGCCTAGCGTGGAGCCCAATGTGGGGCTTGATCTTATGACCCTGAGATCATGACCTGAGGCAAAATAAAGAGCTGGATGCTTAACTGACTGAGCCACACAGGGGCCCCATCAGAAAAGGCTATTTTAATCATTAAACAGCAAGACACAGAGAGAACACACTGGAAATTTTCTTGGATTGATGTTGTAACCAAAAATTTGATAGCAAATATGTTGTGTTGAAAAGCTTCCCCCAGATCTCATCTGTGCCCCAAGCTTACAAATCCAAACTGAATTTCAAAAAGCTCAAGACATATTTAATATAGTATATTTCATCCTCAATTTCCATGTAGTCTACCTTGTTATGATTATAAAGTTCAAACATAAACTTTTCCCTATAAAATGTTCCTATGAAAGTATGCCATTAAGTATACGATAAAAAGGGCACCTGGGTGGCTCAGTCGTTAAGTGCCTGCCTACGGCTCAAGTCATAATCCCAGGGTCCTGGGATCGAG